AAAATACGGATAACTAAAATCCATATTTTGGGCCTCTGTGTGACACAGCCTAGTGATCGGTGAAATGTTTTCGAGCATTTTAGATTTTTACCCGCGCACCGACGCGCAGACGCGTACGCGTGCTTTAGTTGACCTGAAGTTGACCGGACGGATATTGGCCTCGATTATCATTGGTATTGGTATGTGGTATAGTAATAATGACTGCTTTGAGAGACATATTAGTTTTTATACGCTCAAGGGGAGGTTACAATTGTGCTATTGCCCGAGGCGTGCCGAGGGCAATGACATAATTGTAATTTCCCCGAGGCAATATATCCAGGAGAGAAACGGGGACCTGGTAGGTTAATTGACGAAAACATTTGTGTTAATAATTGGTGTATGCCCTCACGGTGACCATATAGTAGGAATACTCCCCAGGGAATGGAGATAGTGGACACTGCATATGCGTGAATGAATTCGATGACCGGGGTGATAATATCTCTAAAGCGCATTGAGACAGTATTTCGTATTGAGCGCTATTTAAATCTAGATGATTATTATTATAATATTATGCAAATTTTATGAAACGGCTGGTGGTTCAAGACTCAATCAAATATATTCTGTCTTGGGAAAGGGAAAACAGACAGCCGTAGAATAGGCTATCCGAGCGTTGGATCCTCTCTGGCGTAGGATTCAAAGAGTTAAACTAGCAGAAGGGGATTAACGGATATCCGATATTTAATTCCCTCGCCCCGTCAGCACGCTCCTTGATGAGTGTTTCCTTTGCAATTACTTGAATACGCGTCTCGTTTCTCTTTAGATTGTTTCCAATCTTATTCTATGGTGTTTGTGTGCGGGTGTATAATTATGTGCCTGTGTGAGCGTGTTGGAAATATATATCAGATTAGATTGATAATACTTATTATATTCTATGACTGGTCAATATGATGACTTCTCTCCATTAATAGTTTATGTTTGTACTGTTATACATTTTTTCCCCTTTTTTCCCCCTTCTTTTTTCAAACTATATCCTTGGTCTTACATTCGAGCAACTTGAGCAAATTTTGATTTATTTTCTCCTGCATTCCATATAAAATATAAACGATTTTTGGTAACACAACCAACATAAAATACTAAAAAGTACTTTCGGACATAAATAAGAATAATATAAATTGTTGAATTATCATATTTCATCAAAGTTTATAAATTTAAAGCATTTGCTGCAAATAGCTTAAAAATATGACAACCCAAATTCAAACCTTAAGAAAAAGATGAACAAATTCATTAAGCCGAATAGACAAATTATTTGAAGCATATGTAAAATATAAGGATAATGATAAAGTTGTTTATGATGATGATGATGATGATGATGATGATTTTACATAATGGTGGATGTATCTTCATTAATCATGTTTTTTTTTAATGCATTTGTAAATTGTGAGCAAGTCACTTATTGGCTGCTTTTTACAAATTGTAATAAACAATAAATTCATAAATAAATGAATATATAAATAAACGAATAAGTATATAAAAACATAAAAAGTGAATACATAAATAATGAATAAATAAATGAATATGTAATTAAAGAAATTAATTAATAAATGAAACAAAATAAATGAATAAATAATAGGTGTGCTAAAACAGACAACGGTGGACAGCAATAAGGAACTTGATTTAAGCTACGCAATCATTGATCTCACATTTCCTTTCGCATTGACCACGATTTGGTAATGAAGATATACCAAATAGCACTATAGCGCATCCACTAGGTTTCGAATTCGTGACCTCCAGGTTTAATACGAGACCACTGCTCTACCCTTGGTACGTAAACAAACAGTACTTGATAAACATTGTTTATGTCTCTTGAACTAATAGAAACATCGGGATCAGCGTTTCCCTGAAAATGTTTAAAGTTCACTTTCTTGTTAACGCAAAACGTACTATGGACTTGTGCCCCTCTTCCTCTCATCTACAGAGCTGTATCGCGTTGTTCCACTTGCCTGCTTTAGATATCAATTATGAGCCTTTTGACTTCCGTAATTGCCAGTGATTTATCAAAAGATAAGGGTTCATTATTGTTCCGATCCCTAATCTTGCTTATACTAATAATAGGGACTTTTAGATTTGCGTGGACTGATACGTGTGACGTCCATTCAAGGCAGTGCATTAAAAGGACGTCAATCGTAGCAATCCGCGTTGTCGTTGTGCAAATCTAAAAGTCCCTAATGTAAATGGATGTACACACTGTTACTGGAGATTAATTCAATGATTAGATAAGGGTGTTTCGTAACACGACCACGGCATCATGTTTCAAATGATGTAACGGCTAGCGAGGATTTCCTAGGGATCATATTAATCATAATCTGATTAAATACATGAGCGAAAGAAAGAACCAATGATCATCACAAAAGATTTTGCGTTATCAAGAAAACAACGCGGCGTTATTATTATTTTTCTTAAGTTTAGGAGAGAGAGAATGTCTTCATTTTCATGTAACTATCAAATATGTATATTCATGTACACTTTTGGTCATAATGGTGGAATAATTTTTTTTTACCCCAATTTATGGAATGATTTTTACAATGATTTATTCCTAATAGATCTAAAATATAAGTATACTTTCTCAGATGTTATTAAATAATAATTTGCGAGTGTTTGTTTTGCGTGACTGCTATTAAAAGCATGTGTGCGCTACTATGCTAATCAACTAGGAGACCTACGTCCTTAAGTCATAACTGACAGTAATGAGGATTAATGCCTCACAAAAGGGCACTAATATAGCTGATCGACATGGTTTTTATTCTGGGGCCTCACAGTAACGAGGCCCTTGCTTAGCCACTGAATCATGACTGTACGCAGCGGGGGCTAGGGTACGTCGCCGCTCATGATGCAGATTTCTACTTATTTTATGATAATATTTTACCCATATATCTTATTTCCCAAAATAATTACCGACATTGATATTATAATATCATATATGATATATACGTATGGAAATAGTATGATATTAACTTAAATAAGTTTCACTTTCTATGTTAAATTGCAAACGTCATTAAATATTTATTTCATGTATCGAAACTAAACACTTTTCATATAGATTGAGTTATGGGAAATAAAATTATTTGAATTTAATGGGATTGAATTAAAATCCGAGACATTCACCATTTCAAATCTCGAACGCGTGAATCTAACCGCTGGCCTGTGTGAGGTTTGTTTGTTTGCTGGGTATTCTGTTGACTAATTAAGAGTTTGGTAAATTCACACTAACATATGAACAATGTCGCGATAGTAGAGGTGAGAGCTCGGTCAGTTGTACGCGACGTATCTAGTACTTCCTGTCTATTGATGTTGTTGTTGTTGTTGTTAGAACTTTGGTTTTTTGGAAGGTGGATTTTGCTCGTTACACAGGAAGAGGGTTATTTCCTTCTGTACATGGATATTCTTCATTACTTAATCATATCTTCCGCAGCGGCTATATATAGCCATCATCTTTGACAGAAGAAAAGAAACGGTTCGGTACAGTCCCGCTCACAAAGGTTTTTCGAAAAATCAACTTTCAATAAAGTAACGAAGTGTGGGCCGAAGTGTACAACACAATACAGGCCAAGTTGTCAAGATTGCTAGTTCTAGAACAATTTCGTGCTAGACAATGATGCGGTGGTCGACCTAGCCCCAAACGCGGAATTTACCCTGCTCCAGGGCTCCAGCCCCTTGCCTTATTGTTTAGAAAACGTAACCTGGACAACAAGCGAATATGACGTTAGTACTCTATTGAAAATGCGAACAATGCATTGATATAGCATGCGATACGAACTTGATTTCATGTCTATACAGTGCATCCCAGAACAAAAAAAAACCGAGAATTATCGAAGTTTTATCATAACTTAACCACAATTATAATTACTACATTACACATAATTATGTAAAGCTTAGGTCCTCCTCTCTCATTTGATGCAACTGTTATGATGCATATTTCATGAGTGACTAAAATCAATTGGAACAAAGGGTACCAAAGTGTCATTTGGCGGACGGTTTCTGATTTTCAAAGAGAAAATCACATTTCTAGAAAGTTCATTTTCTGCCCTTTCATATGACACCTCAATCAGGAAAAATGAGCTCGGAATAACAATGTGTAGATATATTATACATATATAAACTGCTGTGACGGAGGATTATCCAAATTGAATTATTTTCTCTATAACCTGTACATATATATTGTATTATAATCATGTAAAACTAAATCCATTTCGCTGTTATAGCTTACCTCATGTATCAAATGTATTATTCATACTAACGGAGAACGAAATAGATCAAATCGAACAGTTCTAAACTATTGCTGTAAAGCATTGTGATGAATGCCTACTACAGGATTAATGGGGAATAGTAATGTACAATAACGTGACCCTCGAAAATGTTATAAATAGAAGTAACGACTGCACTTTTGAAAGTGCATGTCCCTCGCCTATCAAGAGTGATCACTTTGGCTCGAATTCACAAAGCAAGGTTTGAGCTCAAACCTCCTTTTGTTTCGCCAAACCTCCTTTTGTTCTTTACAAACCAGGGGGTGTTTCACAAAGATCCTAAATCAAACTTAACTCTAAGTTGGACTTAAATATTATGGAGAGCCATTTGTAGCCTTAAAATAAAATATGTTCAAAGCGAAAATTCAAGTATTTTAGACTTCTTATAAATTCCACATCAAGAACATGAATTCTCCTTGATAATAGAAAATTATGAATGATTTGAATCAACATTTTATGCCTCTTAAAAAAGCTTTTACAAAATAATTTCATAGATGCTAACGGCTTTTCATAATTTTTAAGTCCAACTTAGAGATAAGTTCAACTTAGGATCTTTGTGAAACACCCTCCAGGTTTGTAAAAAATGCGTAAAACGCGTCATAATTATGACGTACGAAAACCAAGGTTTGTCGACAAACCTCCTTTGTAAATTCGGGCCTTTGACTAACACAAAACCGACTAGATCAGCACAAAAATAGAAACAACAGCAAGGGTCATGACTGTGATGCATGAATATTCTTCTATTTGAAGGAGTTTAATTCTTATATCTTCATAAAATAACTAACATCAAAAGTACTGGAACTTAATGAAATAAAATTAATTTTGAGGACATGCGAATTGGGTGAATACCGAATAGTAGAACTTATCGAGAACAAGACGAAAACGCTCACGCTCAAGACTCTAATCATTTATTTAGGTTAACTAGACAGATATAATGCACATTTAAAATAAACAAGACTAAGGATAGAACAATGCCAAAGATTACTAGGATGAATAATTCAAGTAATATAAAAATCAATTCAGTTTGCACAATAAGCATCGACAGTGTATATGTTTTACCCTGTTCTATTCATTATATTTCTGATATAAAAGACATCTAAAGATTTTCAATGCTTTTATTTTATATTTGCTGCCTTCGTAGATATTCCTTATCTTGTCCTTTATTTATATTATCTACCCATGATTGTCTTTTAAGTGGGTAAACACTGTTGTACATTAATGCCCCGCACCCCCTAACAAAAACATAACAACAACACACAAACGAAAGTGTAATGCTATATTTAAAAATAATAACACAATGCAAGTACTGTAATCTACCATTAAAAAACACACAACAAGAGTGAAACACAACAGCATATACACCCATCTTTGAATGTTTTTGAACTTATTATTAAAATCATGTCTTAACTTTGTTTATAAAAATAATGAACATTATACTAAGTTTAGGTTGAATGTGCCAGAAAATTTCTTATCTGAAATAGATAAGCAAACCAAAACTCACGATCACGGTGCCAGCACAATTTGCTTACAGCACCCACAGTACTCCCGGTACTTTGATCTATACACACAACAATAGTAGGCCTCATGGTCTACTGAATATCTCCAATATTATTGTGGAGGCTGTTTTTGTTAGAATGCGTTTCATTCATATCTGATTTAAATCTAGACCAAAGAGCGCTAATACCCCCCACAACACGATCATGACAAAAGAGACTTGGTTTACGTGCACAGCGCTTGATAAAATACATTTTATGCGACGTCTCTAATAATAATCATATTATTCTACTCTACTGTCCCAATGAATTCGCATGTGTTTGCCATGAACAGTAACAACAACAAAAAATTAAGAAAGAAAAAGCATAGACAAATTGTTTGACACACGACACTCCCGGAACCAATAGTTTAATAATGTCTATCGCTTGTGAAAAACACGAATCTGTCTAGACTCTAGACCAAATATATTCGAGATCCTGATCTGTTTGTAAAGTGTCGAATGTGTGATTATAAAATATGTTTTACCGATTGCAAGCTTCCCTCTCATTTGCCCAGTACTGAAGAAAAAAATAAATATTTTCCTTAAAGACCATTTATAATCATACATTCATGTTTTATAGAACCCTTGAATGAAACACATCTATCCCGTCATCAATAACAATGACAATTTATGAAATTGTCTGCACAGAGCGAATTGGAGAGGAGCTCGCAAGATACGTCACAGAGTTGCCATTTCGTGTGTGATTGATTTATCATGATATTAAAACGCACTTAATATCAGGGTGGACTTCCCCTTTAATGCCTCAGTCACACCTTTGCGTATTTGGCTTGCGTATTGCTGCGTATTTATGGCAAGCCGTTATAACATTATTCCTATTTCTTGATATCAAGAAATTATTTCTCGATATAAAAAATTAAAAAAAGCGATTTTTGATATCACGAATTACCATTACTTTACAACAGAAATCATTTCTTGATAATAAGAATAAATGTTAAAACGGCTTGTCATAACTCAGCTTTGGCACGGCTGTCAATACAGCGCTCGAGCATTTTAAGGAATGGATTCCTGCCGGGTACCCAGTTACCTAACCTTAATGGAGTATGACATATGTAGATTAATGTCTTGCCAAGGACATTAGTTCCGCGACAGAAGTATTCGAACACCGTGCCTTGTGGTTCACAGTCCGGTGTCTTATCCACTGGACCAAAACACCTCTACATTAAACTGGGGAAGAAGAAGAAAAAATGAAACAGGCAAAATTTGGGCAAGGGACGACAACCCTTGGGAAATTTTGAGCGCACGCCACCACAAACTAGATTGCTCCACACACTGACAAGACCGACTCCATATAGTCAATACACCAAACAAATAGTAACAATATCCTGAATGGCAAGGAATCGGTCTGGTTCGAGTTGGTTTGGAGTAGATTTTGCGGTGCGACTTAAGAACTAAACATCATGGAATCATTTCCATGTGATTACATTTCACGTAAAGCTTTACATCTTACATATTATTTAAGTAAACATTTATTTCCCTAATTTTCGCATGTTTCAATATACACGTCTATAGTATATACAAAAATTGACTCGTGGCAACTTTTCTAAAAGCTAATTTTAATGGCGAGAGTGCCGTAAACAACAGCTTTCAAAAGTGCAAAAACATGCCAATACATTTTACATACAAATTATACACGTAAAGAGGATGAATGAGTTGAAAAGACTATGGACAAACGAATACACCCACAGAAAGAACAAACGACGACAAAAAGGAAGAAGTGACGAAAAGAAGAAACCTTCGAAACTCCTGTGAGAGATCATCATCATCATCATCTAGTGCTGTCCATCGCATTCTGTCATGTACCTTTGTTCTAACCTTTCCGTAGTTAAGACCAGTCCATTTCTTGATATCATCATGATACACAACAATTAATACAGGTCCAGAAATACATCATCGTTATTATTGCAGCATTTTGATACAATACAATTGATTTGACATAAACATGATTTGAGGATAAACATGGCCTCTATTATAGTAAAAGGAAATAGTGATTATACATTTTCCTTTTAGTTGTAGAGGCTATGTTGTCAACTTCAACTTCGTATATCCATTGCGATTCTTTCATGAATACAAATATTGCAATCATGAAAAAAATAATTGAATTTGTATACTTTTAACCATTTTACATTCCATAATATGCGTATCAATAGTACTGCTTGATTCACTAGGTACACACCTTCCACCATCTTTTGTATGCACTATTTCAGATGATATTGCTTCAAAATTTACATAAAACCTGAACATATACATGATATACAACAATGTTACTTACACTATGAAAACTGCTTCCCTTCCTAGTTTCTAATGTCTCACTTGAGTATTCAAAATTATGCCTCTGTTTCTTATTTGATGGCAGATTTGTATTACAAGTATTTGTAAACTTATCATGTTTGTTACCACAGTAATGATGTTAATGAGACTAGATATTGAATATCTTTCTAAATCATAAATCAGATAAATGTTTTTTTTTTAAAGATTGTAAGTTAAAGATCTACGACCACATAACTTTTTAAAAGCGTACATTTGTCGACATTCAAATACTAAAGCCGGTGCAGTTAGCTTTAGCATGGTACACATCCCAGACCTTGTACAAGTTCTTAGCCTCTTTTCCGATTCCATGAACAGTCATAGTAGTTTTATCAGTGAGTGAACAGGTGTCAGTTTTCCCTCCCCAGCTCTTGAAGCCACTGTTTCCGATGGGACCATAACCTAACTTTTTGGTAAGAATACCCTGGAAGGCATCATCAACGTTGATCAAGGATGTTCGCAGTGCCTCCTGGTACAGATTAGGTACGGTTTCGGCTGACAAGACGTAGCCACCTCCGCTGCAGTAGGGAGGATAGAAATGCCCAAAATACATGTGATCTGGAACGTGGTACCGTTTGAGGCTGTTGTGTTCAGGTATATTTGGGGAATATCGTATGCTGCCATAGAGCCGCGACCCAACGAAAAACTTTGTCAGAGCTTTCCCCTGACTTCGTAGGCTTTTTATGTAGGAGATGATGTTGTCGAAGTTAACGAACATGTCTTCGTCACCTTTGTAAAAGTACTTTGCGTGCCGACAATTTTCTGATATCCACTTTAACCCCAAGACTACTTTGAGTGTCAGGTTCTGAAATGATTCGTGGAAACTGGCTCGAATGAGATCACCATACTGGATGTCTTCCTGACGCAATTGATTTCGAAGTTCCTCCGTTTCTGAAGACATCTCGCCCATAACGAAGACACATCGGATGGTCTCTCCTAACACCTTCTGCTTCTTACACCAAGTTTCCCTGATGGCTTTTCGCATTTCACCATGACTCGGTGGCGTACTGATCAGAACGATCATGAAGATATCCAACGGCTTACCACCCTTGTCATAACATACATGTGGATTGCTGAACTTGTATGCCAGGACCTTCTCTAGATATGGACGGTTGTCCACGTTGGATGGCAACACAAGGTCAAGATCAGGATCTATGCATTCTTTTAAGAGGGTTTTATTGCCAATGTCCTTCCAGGCTTTTATCAATTCATTAGGCTTCTTTGGAACGTGCATTGTTACTGAAGATTTCGTGGCACATATATCTTGTTCTCCTAAAATATTCCGCGTAAACATATCATCTTCCACCAACGTCCAGTTTCTCTCTTTAGATACAATCGAAAGGAACACATCGGCAATTGGCATAAACGAAGAATGTTTCATTGCACTGTCCAAGAACTCCTCTGCAACCGTCTTAGTGATGATGTAACCATTCTCATCTGTGCAGAAAGGAGGGAAGTACTCCTCACTGTATTGCTCCAATGACACATAGAACAATCCATTCTCTAGCCTCTGCACCTTGGATTTTGGAACTATCTTACCCATCCATGTCCTGGAGTCCGATATACCATTCTTTTCGCAGTAATCAAGGCGGTCAAGAAGCCTATCTGCCATAACGACTGTTTCCTCGTTTACCACTATGACATACTGGAAAGCTTTGCAATGTTCCAAAAGCCAAGAAACTCCATAGAGCAGTGGTAAGGTCGTTTTATGTTGTATGTCATAGACAAAATCACCTTGCAGAATGTCACCTTGAGTTTTAATTTCATTCAACAGTTGTTCGTTTCCGCTCGCTTCCTTATCTTTGAGGGGTTGTTTTCCAGTAACAAAAATCACTTGCAGGGCCGTGTCTTCGATCTGGCTCACCTTTCCCCACGTTTCTCGTATTGCTTGTCGAAGTTCCGTGCTTTGAGGCAGCGTGGCTACCAATGCGATTACTCTTGCCTTCTCCTTGCAAGAAACTTCACCGATATAAGTGAATTTCACATCGGGCGCCACCGATTTGGTCACATTGGAATGTTTAACTTCATGTTTGACGTGTCCACTCTGTTGCTCTGGTGTGCTTCGGTGTGATCCATTTAAAAGAGAACGTACAGCTGTGGCGTGCTTCGTGTCTTCCAAACTTCTTCTCGTTTCTACAATGTCCGTTTCTCCAATGTCATTGAGTTTTCCTTGTTTATCTGTCTCACGTGTTATTTGAAGAGTTAAGAAGTTACACAATCCAATAACTATTAAAAAGAAGACCAAATACTTGAGTTTTTGCCGCCTGCTAAACATCTTGATTATTCCATTTGAAAATAAAATTAAAAAAATAGTTGCTTTGATTAACCGAAGTGGATCAGAGAGAGGGGGCGTCCAACGTAGTTAATGCTCGCATGGTTTTGCCTCTGGTAATAGGAAATAGCACCCGTGAACCTAATCCGAGGATTCATAGCCTATCCAAGAGAGGGTACCGAAGAGTAACGAAGAGTTAATTCTCGAATAAGAGTCCGGATATACCGTATGGGGTATAGCAGTAGCAAAACATAATCTGAGTAAGAAACACATCAGACACAATGTCCCGTGTTAGAAAGCGAGAAAGCTCGGAATATGACACGACGGCTGTAAGAGGCATGCGCGTGAATGACTCAGATTGTATTAATCAACTATTACTGTCTGATCGACAGCCTGCCGTTTTCATTCATGTACCCGCACGTTCCTTTGACACATTTTGTTTTTCCTGTCGGCTTTTCCTCTCCATAACCCCATATCCATTGGGCTGTGAAGATTTTGCGCATGCGCCATAGAAAGAGACAATTATTCCAGATACCCAGGGTTGTCCACACCGTTATGTTTTTCCCTCAAGCCTCAAAAATGCTCAGACCAATACTAGCGTATTTAAAGGGTGGAAAAGAGGGAGTGGGATAAATTCCCTCCCAAGAAAGAAAATAATAAGATAAATTACCTTTTTTTTAATGAGTACATGATTTCAAGGTCAGTAATAACCATCTTGCTTTAAAAAGCTAACAAATTACGTAGATGTTCCCACACAATTTTTATTAGGTTTCAATTCCACGCTGCAAACAATGTCGATGAAAATGGAAAATGATGAGAATGAAAATTTTAAATCAAACCAAAAGTGGATGTCAAATTATGAATCCTAATGAAAGCTGAAGAATATAAAATCACTTCAATCATTGGATTATGCATTTTTTGTGAATGCACCTTTCAATATATGGCTATTTAAAAAAAATATATTGAAAAAAAAAACTTTCGCGCGCTCACAAATGCTTTTTGAATTCATCATTATCTTCATATGCTAATGATAGTGCAATATATAGTTATATTTAAAGTTAGATAAATCAACCCATATCAAAAGAATGTATACCATGAAGTAAAACACACATCAACATAAGCACACATACGCCTCGAACACACACACACATACGCGCACACACACACACACACACCCCACACGCACGCAATCACACAACACACACACACACACATGCTCACAACGCACACACATGCACGCACACACATTGTTGTTGCTGTGATTTGTTTAATTAAAAAAGAGGTAACGATCCAACGTGAGGTATATTCCTTCTGATAAAGAATTTCTGTTTGGCAGTTTAAAAAAAAGACTATAATGCTTTGCATTTTAGATATTGACAATTTTGTCTTTAATGTATTATTTTGGATAGAGTTGTCAACTATTATTTGTTGACGGTCGTATCCATTATCATATGAAATAACGATGAACAAGGCGATTATCACATCCAATATTGTAGGCCTACACACTTTAAACTTCACTTTGTAGGCCTAATTGGGGGGAAAGCTGATACTTAAAAAGCTTTCGAGCAAATTGCGCCTATAAAATTTACAGTAAATGATACTTAAAAACCGTAACACTGGCGGCACTACCTTCCCTCCCCTCAGTTTCAGTTCATTAAATATAATATCCAGCGTCGTATTGGCAGAGTAGCCAAATAATTCATAATCTGTTTTATAATAATCAATAAGACGATATATCAGGTCACGTGGTACATCATTGTATGCATTGATTAGCCTTTCATATGACCTTGAACTATGAACTTCCGGAAAGGTCACGTATCGAGATAGCTTGAATTGTTTTATGACGTAAGGTGCATCATAGTCATACTTAAATTGACAAGGTGACGTTATCCGGCTATTAAACCGGCAACCAGTGATCTGTCTGTTGTGAAATTTGAGCATTCGGACCGTTATCCGTAATGAATCGGATAAATTCGTCAAATCGTATTTTCTCTTGGAGTGGGAAGTTGACCTTGGATAGTTGCTGATCCCGACATCGTTTTACAATAGCACCTCCGAACTGTCGGTCCCAGTGCTCCTTTCCATACACACATTTATCGAGATATGCTAAAAGCGCCCTCTCTAGGGGTTCCCAAGTAAACATGACTTTGGCGTACGTTTTCCATCGCTGCTTGAACTTTTCGGCATTTTGGATATCATTCAACTTCAGAAACCTCCACTTTCTACTGGCTATTTTGGGTGCTTTTTGCAAAGAATCTGGGTCTGCTTGATAGAGCTTCGCCATGACATCTTTCCAGGTCATGCAGGAGATCTTGGGTACGAAACAGACTAGAGATGAGCTTGAACCTGTTACTCGCAATGAAATGCACGGTGTTCTCCCAAGAAACGGGCGGAAGGGTCCGGCTCATCCCAAGACGGTTGCATGCTTCTTCAAGACGTTCCTTTCTCTTGAGCTGTTCGGCTTCGACGTCATAAAATTCCTCCTCTGTGAAATCACTTTAATCATTGGATTATACATTTGTTGTCAATGCAACCTTTCAATATATGGCTATTTAAAAAATAAAAATAAAAAAAAAACTTTCGCGCGCTCAAAAATGCTTTTTGAATTCATCATGATATCTTCAGATGCTGATGATGATAATGCAATATAAAGTTATATTTAAAGTTAGATAAATCAACCCATATCAAAAGAATGTATACGCATGAAGTAAAACACACATCAACATAAGCACACATACGCCCCGAACACCCACACATACGCGCACACTCACACTCGCTTAAACACACTGCTTGCGAAGAGAGTTGCCTATTCCACAGTGACAGGTGTTTTCTGTTTGGGCGGGGGATCAATTTTGTTGTTGTTGTTGATTTTGAATAGTTATTTGATTCTTTTTCTCTCCAAAAAACAAATCGAATAAATTAATCGCACTAAAAATAGTGTAAAGTTATATTTGTAAGACTATAAAATACAAAAGTAATATCTTATATTTGACTGATACCTGTTTAAGCTCACAGTAGGTCCTACTTCCACAAAGATTTCTTATTACATTTCCTTTAGAATAGACAAAGCATTTTTCTGTTATTTGGACGAGAGATGTATGGTTTTCTCCCACTTCTAGCTTGTCTCAAAAACTCCCCTTATCCCCCCCCCCCCTTAAATTTGTTTCAAACCAATTATACCTTACGTAGATCCACACACACATTCAAAATTGAGCATACCGGTAGTGTTCAAGAACACGTTGGTGGATAAAACTCTTAGAAATTCCAATAAATATGACCTCAGAACACATTGTTTGATTATTTTGTCTAATCATCGTCAATGTCATCATTCTGGCTTTTCCCCATTTTTGTCTTTGCCTGTGCATTAACTACAGCTAGATTTTGTATTGTTTGATAGATTGAGTAGGTATCGAAGCCTTCTGTTCGTAACCGACAAGTCACCACATTCATGTAAACTTGAACGAATCAATCAACCTCAAATAATTGATGTATCATCGCTCTATAATTAAATATTTCACATTTTTATATAGGCCTACCTGCATTCATATCCATCACAAAGGAACATGTAGTAGGTATCCTAAATTTTTGTTTCGTTTAATTTCCTCCCTATTTCTCTACCCTGTTCAATACTGATAATCACAGCCACAGATTTATATTCAAATTTTCTCTATGCAAGATAGAGAGAGAGAGAGAGAGAGAGAGAGAAAAGGAGAAAAAGAGAGAGATAGAGAAATAGAATATGTCAACCAAGACTTATCGTGTACTATGAACTATGAATCGCAATCTTTTCAATATGATTCAATTCGCTGCATATGTTTAGAATATGAATATGATAAATCCACAAAATACACCAACGACGTTGACCGCATCCATTGCTCAAATCATAGCTCATATGCCAAAACACAATGTTGATCAAATATGGAAAGTTTCCGAAAAAAATTTGAATTAAAAAAAATCCAATATACCACGCACTATTAAAGAAGCTTCAGTTAGAATTATGAATTTTCTGTGACTGGCTTAGCACTAGTTTCAGAGGGACCGGTCACAGAAGATCCATAGCTTGCATTGGTACATTTGATTTATATCCTTCATCAAGAAATTAAAAACACTAAGAATATAAACTATAAAGAAATACATCAGAACACAAGTATCAATTCACACCTTTGTCTACAATACACACACACGCACACTGATTACACAATGTTGATGCACATGTGTTGATTTTGTAGTTGTTGTAGTGTTTTAAAATGTTATTTCAGAAATTTTCTCTTAACAACCAAAACAGAATACATTAACAGCACAATTAATATACAAAATAGTGCAATATTATATTTCATACAATCATGTAGTAGTTAGAAAAGGAGAAAAGAACCTAAATCTAAAATAAATGACAATTAAACCAAAACAAGGAATAAAATGAGACGAGATGTTTCGTCTCCCCCCCCCCTCCTTCCAGCTTGTCTCACACACTCCCCTACCCCCTACTCCAACGATATATATATATATATATATATATACCGGTAGGCCTACCTTACACCTTCTTCTTTTTTTCAATATTTTTTTTTCTTGATTCCAAACAATACAAATTAATTTTAGAAATAAAATACAGTTGTTTTCCCTTGACATGAATTTAAAACATTTTCATTACATAGATTGTACAATTGATGAAAACAAAAATGAAATCAGTTGTAACATGAAACAAATAACCCCATCCAACCAAACACACTACTACCCCCCCCCCCTCCCCACCATGCGACACACACACATACACACCACCCAACCAAACACACTACTACAGGGAAATGCTGTCAACCGTGGACCAAGTTTAGTACTTGTGTTTGTCTGCGTAGGTAATCACCAGCAACGGCGGACCACTCCATAGAAAACTACATCAAATCGCGGACGTACCTCCTATGGGATGATCCAGGTAGCGAGTGCCTCTCCCGCGCAGTCAAAAGGGGGCGCTGTGACATTTCGCGATACACATCGGACTGATCCAGTCGATGTTGCCTACACGCTGTGACATCTAATATTCAAACGCCCCCTACGTCGTAAATTTGATACGGCGGAATTGCAGGTACGTCCGCGGTTTGAGGTAGTTTTCTATGGAGTGGTCCGCGGTTGCTGGCGTTTTCCTACGCACCACTACCCCCCCCCCTCCCTACCATGCGACACACACACACACACCACCCAACCAACAACACTACTACCCCCCTCTCCCTACCATGCGACACACACACACCACCCAACCAAACACACTACTACCCCCCCCCTCTCCCTACCATGCGACACACACACCACCCGACCACATTTAAAAGTTCATGAAAACTTCCCAGTTCTGTAAATGTAAGGCCAATTTACCTGCCCTCCCTGCAATATTCTTTAAGTTCTTCCCTAAATTCAAACAGTTCTTTTTGAAACTCCCCCAAAGGCAATATTACGGACTTTCCCCTGCATTTATATATCCAATATTTCATTGCAAAATAATTGTATTAAAAATCTTCATTCGTAGGGAGTACTTACCGGACAACCCTAAATGAATATCTATCCATTCGATAGACCTTAA